AAGTACTCGTCGTAGGTAAGCTGAAACCTGCAGTATACAGATGTGCAAGACGGGTTACCCAGCGGCTCCGGGGAACGTGGGGGACAGCAACTGTGGTGGACTTGGACCGGTATGCCGTCAAGTGCTTATAAAACTGACTTTTTCGAAAAGTTCAGTTCAGATGGCGGAATTGTGGCACGTTGGGGAAAACGAAAAACTGAGATCGGACGGTTGGGTTAGAAGATGGTTACCAGAGCGTTGGCGAGCAAAACAGTACTTTTTGTTCTTGTCTTTACTAACCTACCTTACGGAAATGAATTTCTAAACCCAGTTAGGGAACGTGTCGCAAGTCCGTTCCATCTGTCCTCCCAAAAGCGATAATCTCGTCGTCTGTATTCCACCCTTCCATATTCTTCATTCGTCGAACAGAGATCAGTACCACTTTTCCATCACCTTTATCGCTCCACCACTTTTCCTTTTTCAGCCCAAAGATGTCGATGAGGCCTACTTTTACTGACGCTGAGCTCAATGTCACTTCACGGGTCTCGCGCACGTTATGCCGTTGTCTATCGATATCGGAGAAGTAGAATGGTAGGACCGGCCTGGAGAAAGTTTCGCGTTGAAACGTTGATTTCTCGTATAAGTATGTATAGTTCACGCCACTTTAACAACACAATTTCGTTATTCTCCCCCGTTCTAAACAAGTTGCCATCTGAAAAGACTATCTTGTGTCCTGCTACCTCACCAGCAGTTCTAGGGATGACCGATTTGGCTGTTGTTTCTTGTCTCTGGCTCTCAAACTCCAAACTGTTCTGTGCATTTCATGATGCTGGGATACATTTCGTGTAAAGGTATAGCATGTTAATGAAGAAATTAATAAGACTTGGGTTCGGGTACATCGTACCCTAATGGTAATATTCGTCATGATCACTAAACACCCTTTGGATCTCCATAAACACCAGATTCCTCATATCCGGAGGATTCACATCCACACGTATCTTGCCATCACGAAAGAGACGCGAGGTTTTACTAGATCCAGATTGATCAAAGCACCTTTCTCTAAGCGATATCACCTTCATCGCACACTCCATCCCCAAATTCGTAAACTCCTCTGGAGTGAGAGGCTCGGATCGTGCGACGAGTTTCCACGAGAGAAGGGACGAAATAGCTAGGAATTCGTAGTCGGCGAGCTATCTTCACCTTCCTTGCAGGATCGTTGAATACGGCGATCCTATCAATGGCACCTTTGCGGATGTTGGTCATGTCGTATTTCGTTGCTAGCTCGAGCACGGAGACCCATTCGTCTAAAGTGAAATCGGGGACTAGGTCCTGGTTGAGGGCACTAAGAGAGTGCAAGGAGAAAAAGCAGAGACGAGGAAAGTGAAGGGTAGCGCGGATTAGCATTCGACGTGGGCTCAATAGTAAAAATCAGGATACTCACGGATGAAATAAAAGCCTCAAAAGACACTCCAGTCCTTCTTCGCAAGTTGTTCAAGATGGATTGGATTATCATCGACTAATCCCTCTGAAGCATTGTTTTCTCCAAGAGGAAGCGAGAACATCGTTTCGAACACTTTGGATTCATCTACGAGTTTTGCACGAGGTATTTTGTATAAGACGTCTTCTACCTGCAACACAATTAGTCTCCAATCGACCGAATGCGATTTTAAATTCATACACACTTGGAAGACCACACAATCAAAATAAAATCTGGGACTTCTAGTGATTGCAGGGGGTTTCTGCAAGCGGGTTTTGTCTTCGTCCATACCGTTTAACATGGGCATTCCGATTTAAGGTGGATATGTTGAGAGTATGGAGTTTCGAGCGATGCTGTATATATAGAGCCTTCAAATTTATGAAAGTTGAGGTCTCTGGGTGAGAGATACACGAAAAAGGCATAAAAGAATGTATATCTTCAGCAGATTCAGTAACAATGAGGATCCCTGTCGAGTGTACACATGGCACATACATCTTGCCGTGCAGCTCATGCGTGGTGCGGTGGCTGCTGGGTGCGTGCAAACCTAGTGCGTGGTGCTTGATACGGTGCAATTGGATGCACAAAGCTTAATCTGAATCGATGAAGCAAGGCCCAACACAGTCAGTTGCCTCTGACACAGTACTATAGCTAACGCAGTAGGCACCGCAGTCAACGCCGCATGTCGACGTTAATTTTGTCTTCTGCAGAAACTGCGTTAACTGTGCAATACTGCATCAGAAGCAATTGAGTATCTGAGTTTCGGCTGCAGAACGGACGAATGGACGAGACAGTGTACTATAACCATAGTAACGGAAGGGGTATTTCACTCTGGGGTCACCGTTTGGAAAGAGTCATGGCCGAATGGTATACTGTATGTGTTGAGGTGAAAATGCAGGCTGAGTATCGAGTCTTCTTTTTGGCGCGCGCCAAAAAGGTGATCGGGACAAATTCGGACCGGATTTAACTTCCACTTGACAATCATGGCTAAAGCTGAAGAACTACCTTCTGAACTACAGGACGAAATATTTAGCCTCGTGGCATCTGATTTGCGTTGCGTACCAAACATCGCCCTTGTAGACAAGCGCGTCAACGAAAGGTAGCTCTTAGCTGAAGCTCTTCAGACCTTTATTGATGCGTTAGCTACGTAGCTTGCTTTCCGACTTTTACAGTACGGTCGAGCTGACATCGATAAAACAATTAACCAAGTTCCTGCAGCTCAACCGACCGAAAGTCACTACCCTCACTATCCTTTCAATGTCTAGGGATTACGAACTTGGCCTAGTCTGTCTTCCGGAGAAATGCCCCAACATTCGAAGACTAACTCTCTATGACATTCCCTACGATCCAACGTTTTGTGATAACTTCGAAAAAATGCATCAGCTCCAAGTCGTCTCATTCGAACACGCTTCTAACTTTGGGCTCCGTATGGAACCTGATGAATATGGCAGAGCTCCAATCCTGAAAAGCCTCACCCATCTCGACTGTGGGTACATTACTCCTTGGGCGGACTCCGAGTGTCCTTGCGACATCTCTCCCTCATCTTTCCCCAACCTTTCCCATGTATCGTTCGAAGTGACCTTTTTTGACCCGGAGGACTATATGGGTATCATATCAGCGGTTCTGAAATGTCTAAATCTTCCTGCGTTGAAAAGACTGATTCTCAGGTTCGGTCTTAACGACGATACTGTGACTTGGTGCAGTAGCTCCCCCTGGGTTCAGAAACAGACTGCCGACCCAAGAGTGGTTTGTCTTAGGCTGCCCTATCGGGACCCTTTTAGTGTTGGAGATCGCTTTAAGTTTCTCGACCAAGTGTGGGCATTGGGCGAACAGGAATACAGCAATAACGTGACAGCTTTGAAGAAATTGTGATCTCGATGTGGGCAGGTGGGGGAGCAAGGGGGCATTGCGTACTTAGTACTACTAGTGGTGAATTTAGGCTTGCCGCTCGCATTGTAACACGAAGTATTCTCAGATTGATCTCCAAAATCAAAGAGACACTTGGACAGTCGAGGAGACCTATCAGGAAACTGGGGAAGGGTACTGTTAGGTAGTTGAGGAAGCGGAGGTAAATGCTTGCACTTGTTTTCTGGGGATTTGTATACTAGTAAATAGTAACGAAATCACACATATTAACTTAGGAGTGCAGAAATAGACAACAAATTCAAGGGAGTGCTTTGAGGAAGCATGGATTATGTCGGCGGCGACGCGTGAAGCGTACTGTGAGGCCGCGCATGATGTCAGAGGTAAGCTCGGGCCGAAATACCAATCCAACGTTCTACTTGACGATCATGGCCAAAGCTGAGGACCTACCTCTTGAACTACAGGACGAAATATTTGGCCTTGTGGCGTCGTCTGATTTGCATTCCGTACCAAACCTCGCTCTTGTAGACAAGCGTGTCAACGACAGGTACTAAATCGCTGAAAAACTGGCTATGTCTTAGTTGATATGTTGACCCTGTAGATTGCTTTCCGACTTTTACAGTACAGTCGAGGTGACATCGTGGGCACAATCAAGCAAGTTCATAAAATATAGTCGACCAAAAGTCACTACTCTCGCTATCCTTTCGATTCGTGCACATCGCCTGGCCTGGAAAATTCCGGAGATATGCCCCAATATTCGAAAGCTGGCTCTCTATGAGATTCCTCCCTCCACGGACGAAGCGTTTTGGGATAGCTTCTCAAAGCTGCAGCTTCAAGTGTTCTCGATCCGATTCGCGTATCATTTTGGTATGGCTATGGATCCTAATAATGGTGGCCAGCCTCCAATCCTGGAAAGCCTAACCCATCTCAACTGCGAGAGAATTACTCCTTGGGGACACACCGAGATCGCGTGCAACATCTCTCCCAGCTCTTTTCCAAACCTCACCCATGTTATGCTTAGCACAGAGAATATTTATGACATTGCACCAGAAGACGATATAGAACTCACATTAGCGGTTGGGACGTGGCTGAAGCTTCCTGGATTGAAGAGTCTGATTATCAGGTTTAGTAGGGATACAGACATGAACCAATACCGTAGCTCTGCCTTAGGTGCAGCGCAGATCGCTGACCCAAGGGTGGTTTGCCTCCGACAGATACCCTATCGGTGTCCTTTAAGTGGCAAAGCCCACTTTGAGTTTCTCAATCGAATGTGGGCATTAGGCGAAGAAGAACACAGTAGAAATGTAGCTGCTTCTACTCCTTAATTTATGAGTGACTTTTGCTTGCGTGGTACATTTCTGTGACTACTGTATTCCTCGGGCTTCACGCGTGCTTACTGATGCGCCAAGCGGGAGATCATTTCATGGTCCGTAGATGTATCAGTTTATCTAGTCACTACGCAGTAGGCTGGGTAGCACGCACGCACAACATCTTTCCTTTGTTCAACAGAAACAAAAGAAAAACGAGACATTTGATTGCTCCTGCTAGGAATCAAGCTGTAATTCTTTTGCTATGTAGCTGCTCACAATCTGTTTCCTTGGTTTCCATCCGTTTTTCGTGCTCGTCGGCCAGGTCTTATAGGAGCCTGAGTAAATAAAAAAAAGCTTGTTCTCAGGTGGCCGATTGTCCCTGGCAGGAGTCGAGCCTGCGTCTTCACGGTTGCTTATTGAATTCTACGAACCACAACGTGATGATCTAACCACTAATCGACGGGGACATTGTTAACCTATGCATTTCAATTTATAATACGGCAGTAAAATGGCGCTCATCATCGCTCAAGCGCTTGTCTGCATCTAGTACTACTCACCAGCAACCATGACCCGTTTGAACGCATTAGTTTCAGCATTGGCTTTCTCTCCTCTGGCATTGGCTTTTTCTAATACTGCACCGTTTATTGCATGGTCCTCTCACAGGTGAGTTGTCTCGTATTTGCTCAGTTTTCTTAAAATGCTCATAATGTTGCAGTTCTAATGCCATTGACCGACTACCTTCAGTTGCTGGAGATGGAGGTTCTAAGAACTTGTTTGAAACTATTCTACTCAACGATGATGTTTGTGACCATGAAGCTGTTGTTTTAGTTCATCAGCCCGGTGTACGTTCGTTTTGTTCTAGCTTTCTTCCTTGTTAGCTCTCTGGTCTGCTCAGCGCGCAGCTCTGTCCCATATCTTTTTCTGCTCTGTTCTTGTTCTTGTTCTGCTCCAGCCCTGTCCAAATCTATTCTATCTGACTTTCAGTTCGAGTTCAACTAGCTAATTCCTCTCTCTACAGCTTCACGCATCCGACTTGCGCCAGCTTTCCAAAAGCTCACATATGGCTCGTTCTCTCTCTTCAGCTTCATCTTCTCGGCAATATCCTTATATTCCTGAATCCACGTCTACCCTGTCGTCTGAGGAACCTTTCGTATTCGCGCAATCTGTATCGGAAAAATGCCACTCGAGACTGGTTAATATCAGACCTGGACAAGGAGGAGTAGCAGCTGCAGAGAACGAGAACTCCGTCGTTGTCGTAGTCAATATGCCGGGCTTGGACCTTGAGGGACCGAGGAAGGCTAAAGTTGCCGAGTATGTGGTTCGTCTTTATACCTTCTTCTGCCCTCTCTAATAAACTAATAATGTGTTCCACAGATGCTCTATTATCTACCACGCTTGAATCTCTTCCGTTCTCGAACCACATTGTCATTATACACTGGCTTCTCCGTCCATGCACTCGAAACGCCAGGAGGACACGGTCTCTGATCGACCTGTTCTCGACCTGACTGCTGCATCTCCCGCTGCAACTACATCTCCCAAACCGAAACCCAAGAGCGGTATTCTCCACCGTTATCAACTCCTCACACCCGGTCTCATTATGGTTCTCCTCATCGTGCTGTTCGTCTTTGTGCCAGTGTTATACTTTGGTATCTCTGCGCTAGCGAGTATACAAAGTCCGCTTCGTCTTGATGCGGTGCCGCCGAAGGGGTACAATGCGAATGAGAGGAAGAACCAGTAAGGTGGCGAGCGTGATCGTGAAGACGAAGACGAAGCGAAGGTGATCACAACGCGTTGGTGGAAACGGATGTACGATGGAATTGGCGGTGATGGAGATAGGATTCACGGTGATGTTTCTCATATCTCTAGAGAAGTCGAGGACAGACGCGGCTTTCGTACTTATATCCAGCTACACGTACAGGCACCTGGGCGATTTCCAGTGTAAACTATAATGTTCCATCGTAATGAATGTTCTTTCTGCGAACAGACGACGGAAAGAAGTTCTATCTTACGTCGAAACATCGGGATGTTTTTGAATGGAGCCGCTGCGTTCCTTGCGGATGCACAGTCAACTGCAATAGCGAATCGAGAAAGGGGGCCTCTGAAAAAGTCAGGCACCCGCCGCTGTCGGGAGTAATGCACAGCGGCTGTGGCCCTTCATCTCGGCCCATGAGGAGCTATATACGCCCAGTTAATTCGGCACCATCGTTCGAAAGTATATCGCAAGATAGAAGACTCATTGTGGGAGGGGAAGATTAACGAGACGAAGGGAGTTGGTCCTAGCTCGACCAAGGAAACTGGAGCAGCGTAAAGTGATATGGTCAGGACTATCACGCAGGTAGCAGGAGGTTAGTGGGGTGGATGGGTGAAATGGGGCGCATCTGTGTACACCGGATCCTATGGATTTGAAAGAGCATTGGTCTCCCGAGCTCGACAGCTGTACTAAATCTTGTTTTGCCTCCCCCATTCACCTTGTTGCCTTGCCCTCTATCCCGCTTCGGATTGGGCTCAAAACTCGTTCAAACTCGTTACAATTACTAGGTGTCTTCATCTAGTGCCCACACTCGATCAAGGATCTTGGGATGATCCTCGTCGCTCGAAGGTGCCCTGAAAGGCATCTGTATACAAAACACTCTCGATTGGAAGGCTCATCGGGTTAGCCGGTAAAATCGCGAAAGTCGGAAAATCATTCGCAAAGTCTCTTTATGTACGACCGGCACGTTACTCTTGCAAAGGTCACTTTGAGAGGAACGTTAAGAGCTTATAGCAGGAGGATTTCATGGAACACCAAGCTACATGTTTGAAGCTTCGGAAACTCATTATTTAATTCTCGACAATCGCATCTTGGTGCTCATAGTACAGCTCTAGTTTGAACCTGTGGGTACATCTACGCTTCTTATCTGATGAATGTCCTCCTAGAATTTCACGATCTTGTCACCTCTTAGCAACGTCCTTTTCATTAGAAATTCTGGGCAAACACCCGGTATTCTTTCTCCCAAATTGGGACCCAGTAATTTGCACAGTCGTCCGCCCTAAAATCTTCAATTCTAAGAGAAATTCAGAGATATATTAACACTTGAGCAAATTCATCAACAAGATACAAAGTCACACTTACGTGTCCTCCGTGATGACGAGCTTGAGGTCGAGTCTTCGGAGGATATTTCCGAGAATGAGGTATAGTTCACACCATGCTAGACTGTCAGATAACAAATCAACAGAGCACCAATGCACTTGAGGTAGAATATATACTTCAGCCCTGGACTACAGGGGATATTCGGATGAGTACCTACTACGATGAAATGTAAGTAATGCTTACCAAATGCGCGGCCCTTTGCAGAACGGTGCTAAATCAAGCATTAATTGACTTGTATCTTCAACTAGCCACCGATCTGGATCGAAAGTATCTGGGTCTGAAAACACATCGGGATTTGTGTGCAGAAACTTGGCACCCATCGATACAATAGTCTGTGTACACAAAAGTTGGCATGGCAGAATGTCGGAAACAAGGATTCACTTACACCTGGAGGGATCTTCAGACCACCGATTTCAGGGGTTGTTGGGCCTACAACACGAGGGAGGGGATGCATGATACCTATTGAAAATCGGAGGACCTCTTTAATGAATGCAGTCTGCGAGTGAACAAAAAAAAACATTATTAAGGGAGGTCAAAGCGGTATCTCACATACCAAATAAGGCAACTTTTCGAGTGCAGTATAACTAATCGGGCGATCTTTATCGACCCAAACTTCCTCGAGCTCTTTCTTGAGCCTCTGGTGGATAGAGGGGTACTTCAGCGCATAGAAAGTCCCGACAGTGCAAGCATTCCCGACGGTATCGCCACCGGCACCAACAAGAATAAATGCTTCATCCATAAGTGACGCCTTGGACAGAGGCTCTTGACCTTTAGGTTCCAGTAGATGATGAAAAACTGTCTCATGTTCTACTGTCGACAATGTATCGGGATTTTCAATCAGGCCGCCGATTTGGTGCTCGAAACTAGCTTTCATCGTCAAGTAACCTTCAAATTCAGGTAACAGCCACAAGATAAGCTTTGGCGGGGCATTTAAAGCAAAAGTTACGAAAAAAGGAAAATAAACCTGGAGCCAGATCTTTTTAACAGTTTGCTGTATGCCTAGTAGGATGGGATGGGAGAAATCAGGGCTATCGAGGATATTGGCTGATTCGGCAAAACAGTAGGAGGTTATAATGTCGGTACTAAGTGCACGGTATGCCAACGCCATGGACACAGTTGTGCTTGACGAGTTATACTTGTTTGCGAGCACAGCCAGTAGTTTATCAATCTTGTAGGTAATTCAGAAGTAAGCGTTTTTGTTTCATGTGTGTATTAAGCCACGCACCTTTTGTTGAATTGTGTACTCGAGGGAGATCACCGCTCGGCGGGAGAACAATGGCTGTAATAAACTCCTTCGCTGCTTCGCAACCTCCGGATCACAGAAGATAAAAGAGGCTTTGCGAAAATGGACCCCGAAGGGATCGTAAAAGCTACGATCCTTCACCAGGGTCGACCCATAGGTATAGATATCATGATAAGATTTCCTGTCGTTGAAATGAAGCTATGGAGGTGTTTAGATAAAGAAGCGTTATGCTGGGACTGGGATATTTTCACTGACGGTGTTAGGCCCGACTCTGATGACCGGACCTATCGATGTTTATTCAAATAATCACTGTGAACCTCAAGAGACTTACCATGGAGTTTATGTAACTGTTCATATTTAGTAACTAGGCCACCTCCTTTGACAAGGTGGTAGTACGCTCCATACCAATCAGTGAGAGCTGCTAAGGCTGGCCCCGGATATTTGCACAGAGGGTGGAAGAACAGCCTGTAGACGGCCAATACAAAAAGGGAGGAGAATGCAGAATAGAGGAAGAGGAGATAGTACATGATGGGGGAACTTGAAAGACTACAAGCTGACGGTCTATAATTATATATCGTTGTTACTCCAATTGATCTTGAAAGGAATAAATGTCCTGTTATTCGGAACATTGAAGGAATCCCATGAGTGTCAGCAGAAATGAATCGGCGTGTGACCACAAATGTTCCTACATACCTTTAATTTGAGTTCAGAATCAAACATACCGGACGTTTGACTCTTCAATGAGGCCTGATCAGTGATAGTGACGTTGACGGATCTCCCAGTATGTTCCATACTTGTAAATCGACGAGATGTATCATACTCCCAGGCGATAAACAGATCGTTGTTAACAATTGGAGGAAAGCTGGGAGCAAAACCGGGCCCGTACTCAGAGACCCGACAGAACGTATCACGAAACACATCCCTGAATCCAACCCTACAATAACATACGCCATGCCAATCTGTTTCGCATGTCGCATTGTGCCTCATTGTGCTCACCTCTACGTACTCAAGCGTACTCACCTCATGTTCCAGTAATTCGAGCCTTCCTTGATCCCAACACTGCTTGGCACGGAAATCTGACTTTACCGAGTATA